GAAAGATGAAGAAGTTTCCGAGGGACACAGAAGAAATTTCGTCGTGACAAACCATGTAATCCCCTGACTAATAGTTATCTACAACAACGTGTCCGGTTTCCTTTTTTTTTCGAGGGGGGGGGAGGGGGCGGAGCTATTACTATATTTCTATATTTCTATATTATTATCAAAATTTGTTCCCGCTCACTTGGTGAGAACGGTGAGGAGCGCCTCACAAGGAACGCACACGTGGCCGTTCTCGTCGAGTCTAGCCCTCATTACTTCCCTGAGCTTCGCTAGCAGTAGTTCTATATCCCTTCCCGTCAGCAGGTTCTCTATGGTTGGCATCTTCTTCCAGAGAGAGCACATCATGTCCACGTCTCCCTCGTTGATCCCCTGCCACACAAACGGCGATGGATACGTTTCCACCTTGGAAAAGTGACAGCCGGCAGCGGCAAGGTCGTCGGCTATGGCGGACGCAGAAGAAAGGTACAGCATCTTCTTCCTGCCTTCGTCATCCATAGCCGTCTTCTTCAAGCATTCTCCCTGCCTCTCTTCGCCACGTGGCATGCCCTCCTCCTCCTCCTCCTTCGCCTTCCCCTCCACCTCGGCGTCGTACTTGGCGATGGCTTCGTCGGTCAGGACATGAGGACCGGGGGTCTTCCACGTGACCACGGCGGCTTTGCCGCCCGGTCGCAGAACTCTCTGCATTTCCCGCCAGCCCCGCGACCGGTCGGGGAAGAACATGATGCCGAAGACGCAAGTGAGGGCGTCAACACTCCCATCGGCCATCTCCAGATCCTGGCCGTCCATCACCTTCACCTCCACGTTGGCTATGCCGGACTCGGCTATCTTCTTCCGCGCGACGTTGAGCATGGCATCGCTGATATCTGTCAACAGCACCCTGGCATGGGGAAATCTGCGGACAGCCTCGAGAGCGCACGCGCCCGTGCCGCCAGCAACGTCCACAATCACAGGAACGTGACACGTGTCATCTTCTCCTTTCTTCTCGATCACCCGTTGGATGTCCTCGGCCACGTGGTCCAGTGCCACGTTGGCAAAGTGACCCGTCAGCGACACGAAGGCGTCAAAGTACTTTGCCATTTTCTCCCAGTGGGACACGTCGGAGGGAGAACCTGGGGAAGGAGGAGGAGGAGAGCCTCCCTCCCCAGCCGCCTCCGCCGCCGCCGCCGCTATGCCCGCTGTCCCACAACCGTCCTCACCTGACGACGCCATCGCCACACCTGCTCCTCAGCTTCTAACAAACTCTCACACACTGTCGCACACTGCAGCGACGATTTGAAAAAGAGATCTCCGTGGTCCTCATTCGCGCCATTGACACGAACAAACAGGCCTGTTCATACTTGTCCGGGTCAAGATAATATCTTGGGAAAATTTGTCGGGCGCCCCTGTATTTTCCGTTATTTTGCAATGCGCCCCTCGGACGACCGATTTTACCCTGTTGCGCCCCTCTGGCCACAAGTCAAATTTTCCAATGAAACCTTGGTGCCTCATATGTTTTCGTAGTGCCCCTACGGGTACCCACACCAAATTTGCAGCATGCCCTACCGGATAGCGGTTGGAAAATTTTCTGATATGCCCCTACTGGTGCCATCCATCCTCGCGGCTGACCTCATGCTACTTCCATCCATAGGATGAGCATATAGAATGAATCTACCTCTAGAAAATGGAAATATACACTGCCACACTTGTCTTTTTTTTCTTTTTTTCTTTTTCTTTTTTTCTTTTTCTTTTTTTTTTTTTCTTTTTTTTTTTTGCGTGTGTATACCCCGTTGGATTGCTTTGTACTGTGTCTAATATCACTTGCTTTGCAGGAAAGAGAGAGAGAACAGGTCAGTCTCCAACCTGGCGGCTGACCTCATGCTACCTTTATAGATAGGATGAGCAAAATCGAATGAATCTAGGGCTAGAACAT